ATTTAGCTAAACGATGAGATTTAAGCTAAGAGAATAATTCTATTGGACACTTGAAGTAAAGTGGACAACAATCTTTGTTATATATCCAAGCAAAAACAGTGTGCAAACTTGTATAAAACATTATATAGTTGCTAACCTGTGAGTCAGTTAGTAGAGTTGTCTCCATTGAATGCATATCCATTGAAGTATTCATGTCAGTAGCCAAGCAGAATTGACCAAATTAATTTTCCTTACAAAAATATGTAACTCTGCAGTTATTTTATTTTTATGATAATTTTTAGGGCTATTGCTTTTCCAATATTTCACTGGCTTTCAGCATTTAAGCCATAACGTTGTTTTCCACCTAATTGATACTTATCACCAAATGAGTGACTGGTCGCTCTTGTACAACATACTAAGGCTTATCTTCTACTCAGCCAACAGAGGACATCATGTCACTGACCTGTTTCTACACAATGTGCGAAACTGCAGACACATGGGCAAAATAAATAATATCTGATAAAGAACAACAAAGACATAAAGACAACTAGAAAGAAATGGTTTCAACAGTTTTCTGGACCTCATATTTATGTCATATTGTATATGAAGTAGAGTAAATGAAAAACTTTATAAATTACTATATTAATAGAAGCAGGTAGAAAAACATATGATACGCCCACATTTCACATCAGAATTCTGACAGTTTGTTCAATTTACTGTGGTTTTTCTCTAACTGCAACACACGATAATCTGTTCTTTTATCATTATTGCCATACGCATAGAGTTACGGTAGTAGCCTCAAGGTATGATCAACTCAGCCAGTGAAGGACATTGTTTTTGTTAACCTGCTTACATAATGTGTGACATACTATAGTAGAACAAAGGAAGAAAGGTAAATAGGATGGAAATAAATCAGTGATTTTATGGACAACATGTATGTGCAAAAATAGCAAAGAAACATTTAAAAAATTCCTACCATAGAATAATTAGGTAGAAAATGCATATGGTCGTTAGTTAATTTTCCGTAAAAATTCTTTCCGAAGAAACTTTAGCGATACAAGTCCTTTCTTAAAAAAAACTGGTTTATTCTTTCTAAATACAACTTTGCAATACACTTAATTTCCACAGTCACGCTATAACAAACGCTATAATTCACAACGAACGACTCATGTGCTCCACTCAACTGTCCGTCTCTATCTCTGTCTGCAGTTCAATTACATTGTTGCTGTCACTTCTTGGCGGCTTATATATACAAGAATACCGCATATCTAGTAAACACTCGAGGAGTTCACGAACCTTCGACGAATATGACGTGTTACTAGAGTCACGTGACCCCGCGTCGTCGTACAATTA